GTGCAGCCCAGCGCCTGTGCAGCTGCAGATGCTCTGGGACACACCGGGACCACCAGAAAGCCTTCCCTGCGAGGGGTGGGCGTGACTGACAGCTCGTGTATGAGCATTTGTGCGCGAGCGTGTTTACCGGGCCGGACATCCGCTCTGTGAGAGCTGCTGATTTACTGAGTGATGCTGTTACCTGGGTCGGGTAAGAGGAAGCTCAGGGAGAGCAGCGGTGTGGACGGAACCACAGCAGCACCTCTGCCGCCTGGGTGGAGCTTTCAGGTCCCGGTCTCTCCCACCTGCCTTCCTCCTTCCCAGTCCCTGAGATTATTTTAGGGTTCCAACCAGACAAGGAAAACACTTTAATTTATAGACAACCAACTCCTAGGCCCAGAGACTATGGCTTTTACTGCACAATTGTTGCTTTTTAGGGTGGCAGGTGATAGTGTCAGAATTATTCTGAGACCAAAAATGAAGGTCAATTAAATGGAGTTTGTAATTACATAGTTCACAAATGTCTTGTGAACTAATCAAGTCATATTCCACCTTCACTGGCTGCCCAGTTGGACACACTAATGATTTTTTGAGGCTGTGTACACAGGCCAGGTCCCACATACAATTGCATAACGTGTGAGAAAAGAATCTTTTCTTTTCCTCAGGCCTTTAGTAAGACAAGTCTGTGTGGATATCAGATGAGTGACATCAGACTGGCTGGTTCTATTGAACACTTTTTTCCCTAACGTTTTAGCGTGTATATTTACTACTTCCTGTCTCTCATGGTGACCAGCTGCTAACATGACACTGCAGAATATGAACAGGAGAGGAGAGAAGGTATAGAATCAGCCGGAGGGGCTGTCTGGCTGCGCGTGGTCCTCTTTTGGCAAATCTGACTGGGCACCATTTCACATTTTTGACAGCATCACCGCCAAGTCTGAGAGCCCACGCGCACCGTCCTGGGGGTGTCGGCCACAGTCCCACCCTCTCAGCTGAGCGCGATGTCACGGTGGCCAGCGTGGGGTCCGTGTGGCACCAAGTGACACTGACCTGGGGGGGCTTCCACCACGCCGACAAGCTCCTCCTGTGAAGGTGACGATACAGCACCCTGGAAAATTAGCCAAAACATTTAGAGGTTTTACATGTATCTCCTGTGGTTTCTGAAGTTTAAGAAAACAAAAACAAAAGCAAAAACAAACAAATAAACAAACAACTCAGAACTAGCACGACACGACAGAGCTGCAGTTTCTGTTGACAAGGCCAGCGTGGCTGGGGTCCCTGGGCGGCGTTTTGTTTCTCCGCGTGGAGCCCAGCTGTTTACCCTTCCTCCCCGGGAGCCTTGCCTCTCCTTCAGAAGTACCACTTTGGCCACAATTGATACAGTTAAACCTGTCTGCTGTTCAGAGCTGCTAATAGATCTACAAAGTCACGGTCCCTCCTGTGGATGTGCAAATTGAATAAATGGTCCAAACTGAAGGCATTAAAAAAAATTGAAAGATGAAAAAGAATATTCAAAGATGCCCGGAAGACCAGCCAACATCAGTCTCCCACCACATCCTCACTGATTCATGTCTTAACCTGTGTCTCAGGCCCCTTTCGGAGCATAAGATTTTGGAAACCTCTCAGATACAAGCCGTCTTGAACTCTGTCCTAGCTTCAGTATTTCACACCGGGTGACAGTGCGTAGAATCCCAGGTCCCTCTTGGTTCCCACCACCCCCAGAACAGGCTCCTTGCAACGTGACAGCCTCTTTCCCGGCTTCAGCACGCCGCCCTTCTCTTTCTAGATTCTCTCTCTGGAGTATCCATCTCCCATAGGCTCAGTCTTCCCAACTCCCCAAACCACGTCTGGTCTCTCCTCTCCAGCAGGCACCGGGTTTTTTCTGGAGGGCCATGCGAGACCTCACGCTCAGCAGAGCTGGGGGCTGCCCCCCTTCCCCTGCCCAGAACCAGCTGGAAAGGACCATGTGGTCATCTGCGTGCCCTGCCTCACCCTGGTAGGATGCCAGCAGGGCATCCTCTTCCTTCCTTCTTTCCACGTGTCTTTCTTATTTGTGACTTGAGGATGTTCCCAGGCTCCAGTGTGGGTCAGGGCTCCCCGATTCTACCCCTGCTGAGACTCTGTTCTGCAAACGGGCGATGGAGCAGATGGTGAAGTGCCACACTGCACCCCTGCTCGGAGCCCACAGTGGCTGTCATCGTCCAGCCTCTAGGATCTGGGCATGACATCCAGCAAGCACGTGCTGCTTAGGATGCTCCTGGCACTTTTCAGATGATTTGCGAGTATCAACTCATTTAATCCTCAGAATGACTGCCATGAGCTGAAAGTTTGTGTCCTCCCCAAATTCATACACGGAAACCTTAATCCCCAGTGTGATGGTTTTGGGAAGCGAGGACTTGGGGGGTAATAAGAGTTGGATGAGGTCATGAGGGTGGAGCCCCCATGGTGGGATTGGTGCCCTTATAAAGAGATGGAGGGTCCATGTGAAGACATGACAGAAGGCAGCTGTCTGTCTACAACCGGGAAGCCAGCCTTCACCAGACACCAGATCTTCCGGCTTCTTGCTCTTGGACTTCTCAGCCTCCAGAACTGAGAAATAAGTCTTGGCTATTTAAGCTCCCTTGGTCTATGGTGCCTTTGTTACACTAGACAAAACTAGAGCAATAATCTTACAAGGAAGTTGTTGTTATAGTCACTGTACAAACGGAAGCCTGGGCCCCAGAGGTTACGTGATTTGCCCAAGTCACCCAGCTCGTAAGTGTTACGGTCGGTCTCACTGGGCTTCTGATACCCTTTGTCACTTACGTCTCACTTCCCTCCTTCTCTCAGCTGCACGCCGGAGGGCCTCCCAGCACAGAGGGCACTCTGGTCTCCGTGCCTCTGGCCGTCTGCATGCCCCTTCCCCTCTCCTCCCCCATCCAGTGCTGCCCCCTGTGCCCCTCCCCGGGCATCGGGCCCTAGCCTGTGGGTCACCTTCCCCTGAGACCGCAGGGGGCAGGCTGTGAGCCTGGGAGGGCGGAGGCTTCGCACGCCTCTTTGTGCACGGTCACGTCCACAACTGTGCACAGTGACTGGCGCTTCCTGGCACTTTTTAACAAGGCACCTCTTTGGGTTGGCCCATGTTCCAGGGGAGAGAGTTACAGGAAGGTACCAGGTTATATTGACTTTAGGTGTTATAGCCCAAAATAGAAGACTGATTTTTAAAGTCAACCTTAAAAGAAATTATTTTTAAAGCAACCATTCACAATATGACCGCAGTCTTGTGAGAGACCCAGCGTTGAAAGAACATTGCAGAGCATCAATTTCAGGCTGACTTTCTGGCTTGTACCCACGACAGGCTATTCGGAGTGTGACACTGGTCTTGGAGGTGCTATCAAAGTAGGGTGGCAGCCGCTCCGGCATCAGCATTTACACTGAAGTTATTAAGCAGGAACTCCAGAAAGGGCGGGGCTTGAAACAGGCAAAAACTTGCAAAGTTTGGGATTCTGTTCAACCTTCTCACAGCCAGCCAGCCCTACTGGAAGCACTGAGCAGCAGAGGCGGGCGAATCAGCATTTGAAGATGGATCTAGGCTGAATTTGGAGATTTTGACTCAGCCGTCAGCTGAAATTCAGCAGTTTCTCCTGAAGCTTTTGGTGACCTTTTGGTTTCATTTAAGCTCAATGCCAAAGGCAACGGGCGAGTGGATGGATTGGCAAACTCCTGAGTGAAGGTTGCACCACAGAGATTCTGAGATCAATTTATCCACCGCAGAACTAAAGTGAATCTCCTCTGGGTTTTCCTTTCCATAAAGGAGGAATGTGGGGTCAGGCGGGAATTAGAGACCAGTTGAGCCGGGTTGGGAGGAGCGTGGCGCCCGGGCAGGAGGCATGAACGGACCCCAGCACCCGCCCCTGCCGTGCTCAGCAGCCCCGTCACACTGTCCGGGTACAGGTTCTCATAAAGAGACTGCGGGCAAGTGTTCGGCTGAAGCTGAGTGCTTCCCCCTCTCAGCACAGTTATGTGTTTCTGAATAGCACCCGGAGCGCCCTTTGAATGTGAAGATGGGTTAGAGCAAAACATCACAGTGTACCTGCACCCCTGCCAACCCTGTTTAACGTGCCTGCGGTTTCTGGCATTCAGGGGATGCGTGGCTTTAGCTTGTGCTTTTATGCGCCTGGTCTGCAGCTTGTTCATCCAGGCTGGAGATACTCATAAACAGAGAAACAAAGGGAGACATAAAATATTAATACTGTGTCCGTATTGCAGTATAATAAGCAGCAGTGAGCCTGTGCTGAGCTGTCGGGACGCACGCTAGACTGTAAAATGTGAGCTGGGGCTGGATTCTTCATTATCTCGTGGACCCGAAGCCTTGCTAGTCACATTATTCTCTTCCAGACTCATTTCAGAACATTTTCGCTGCAGTGCTGTGGTGGCGGGGTGGCTTCCTCAGGCTTTTTTGGTATGAATGATTTCTCCTTCCACTTCTTGGTAAATATCTTTGTTGTTGTTACTTTTTAATTATAAAACTTTGCATCCATCGTAAAGAATTTAAGTGATGTAGAAATGAATCACAAAAAATAGAAATTTCCGTAATTCTTACCCCAGTTTATAACTCAGCATTAATATGTCCAGGTATCTTTACATATGTAGATAAAGATTAATATAACATATATTGTTTATGCATATAATATTTCTTATCTTTAATTTTAATTAGATTATACAAAGGATATTATTATATCTATATTGCTTTTTTCACTTAATAATGCATATGTAACAAATTTCCATGAATGTAAATACTTTAGTAGAAAAATTACATTACAAAAGATAAACTAAAAATACATTATGGTATATCTATTCATTGGGCATTAAAGTATTAATTATGACAATTACATAATTATGTGGAAATATGATATTCAATGAATGAAATGTGATATAAAATTATTCATAAACCAAATATCCAGATAGAGTTTCCAAACAAACCCGTTCCTCCTCTTCTACAAATCCAACGCGTGTGAAGCTGTATCTTATCCTCCATGAAAGAGCTGGGATTCCTCTTTTTCAAATGTGTTCTGAAATGAAGTCTCAGGTCTCGTCTTCCCACCGCATTTTGTCAACCCCCCAAATCAGTAAGCTGGATGTCATCCTGGGACACTCCCTGGCCGTCTCCTGGTGTCATCCTGGGCAGCTGGCCTCCCCTCCGCTCCCCGGCCATCGCTGTCTTCCTGCATTCCTTCAGTACTTCATCTCGTTCTTGCCTTAGACCTTCACACCAGCTGTTCCCTCTGCCAGGAGCACCCTCCTCCTGGTCTGTTTTTAGAAAAACTCACCTGAACACAGAAGCCTTCGTTGGACATCAGTCTAAAGCATTTCCTGCACGGCACTTAGAGCAGCCTGATGGCTCCTCTGTTTACATTCGCTGGTTGTCCCTCGTCTGTTTCCTCCTTCCTCCCATAATGTCAGCTCAAGAGTGCCGAGCCCCCAGCATCCTCAGTTCCTAGAAGACCTCCTGTAAACCACAGGTTCTGGGTCAGGATCGCTGAGTACAGTTTGAAGTTTCTTAATGGAGGGCATTGCACATATTTTCTCCTATTATTACTGCACTGTTCTAGGTGAATGTGTCTTGGGGGAGTAGAGAAGTGGTTTGGTAGTTGATATGCCATGGAATTAATCATCTCGGGTCAAGTGATGGGATGAGAAACAGATTCACCGAGAGCCACGACCTGACATCCCCTGTGAGGAGGGCCATGCCGTGGGGGAATCAGCACGTGGGCTGAGAACCAGGGCAGCCACGAGGGTGAGGCCAGTTCTATTTTTTTCCCAGCTGCGTGTCTCCAGCTACATTATTTCATTCCATTTAACTTAATCCTTGACAACAGTACGAAGTAGGCACTATATATATTTCATGAAGGAACCAGTTGCGTGTGAGAGATTACATGTAATTGGTGTCTGGCCTGGCATAGATCCTCATTAAACGCTGGCCCCCTACAAACACGATCCCACATTCGGATGTGCTACGCCTTTACGAGAATGTGATGGATAACCAGAAATCAAAACGAAGTAATTTCTGAAATTACAGAAATGCTTCTCCACAGAGGAACTCACCCACCAGGAGTCTGTAATTACAACACTACCTCTTACATTTAAATGTGGTCCTAGGAGCAAAAAGGTGTGCAAACGTGGCGTTCAGTCAGCTCCATAGCCTGGAAGGGAGACACAGGCTTCCCACGTCTCTTTACTTAGAGGGTCCCCTGTGCTGTGTCCAAGGGAGGCCAGTGGGGCAGCTCCTGTCCTGTTATCTGTCCACCAGCCCTGAGGCTTTGATGCATCAGTGTAGGAGCTTGGTGAGCCTGCCCAGGTCTGCTCCCTCACCCATGCTGGAATTCTTCCTATCTTCTGGCCCCTTTCCAAGGGGCTCATCATATGGATTTAAATCTACATATGTGATAATTGAAAAGAAAAGTAAATGTTATGGACATTCAAGTGACTTCTTTTTGCTAAGACTGGGAGAAGCAGTTGATGATAATTAGCAATTTCTGTCTCAGGTTCAAAAAAAATCTTAATTTTCCCCCTCAGGCTCCTTGCAAATCAATAAAGTTATTCCTCCTCTCCATGTTGTTTGCAGTTAATTAGCCTGACTGCGTGCAGCATTCACAGTCATCTTGGAGGCGTGTTGACACACATTTCAGTAATGGAAAAACAGAGACTCAGAGAGGTTGAGAAGGTTGTCCAGGTCACACAGCTTTCAAGTGGCCATAAGTGTGGGTCCTTGGACTTCAGGTCCCTGTTCCCCACGATGACACTCTGGCGCCAGCTCCTGTGGCCGCAGTAGCAAATCAGCACAACTTGAGCAGCCTAACGGCACACGTTTGTCCTTTATAGTTCTGGAGGTCAGGAGTCCGCCATGGGTCCCATGGGGCTAAACTCAAGGTTCCAGGGCCCAAAACAGACGCTCGCCCTGTGCAATGACCCATTTCCTATACGGGCTGAATCCCAGCCAGGGCGCCTCTTAGCAGACGTCTGGTCTCCCCTCCTGTTTCCAAAAGATTGAGTTCCAGGAAGCTTGTGTTTGCTGAGCCTGGGGCACAAAGCACTCCGCCTGCCACTCACATTCTATTTGAATTTCATAAAAACAGGAAGAGTAAGTGTGTGAGACATTTTCTATTCAATTTCAAAGTACTTTCTTAAAAGTGACTTCTGACGACTGTCATTTAAAGGGAATAGACACAGTATGAAAAAAAAAACCCTGAAATCTCATAATATAAAAATTACTTGATTTCCCCTACTTTACCATTGGTTAAAGGAAAACCAGCTCTTTTTCTGTCTCGAGCTGGTGTGATCCTTGGATTCATATGACTTAGTTCTTGCTGGTGTTCATACTTCACGCGCAGAGCACCTAATGGAATCAACAGTAAAAGCAGAGAAAATACCGCCCACGTCCACAGATTTCAGCTGAAAAACAACACTGCAGCGGGAACAAGTATTTACTGTTATCTGTGAGACCCACTCCACTCCCCTTCTCTCTCCCCACATCCACCCAAGCTCTGCAGACCATACATCACGGTCTGACCTTCTGTACAGAACGGCAGTCACAGCCTCTCAGAGATCCCCAGCGAGCGCATCTTTTGTCTTGGATTCCCAAGTCCTGTGTTACACTCACTCTCCAGGACATCCCCACCCCAGCATCCTACCACCTTGGGGTGCTTCTCACCAGTGATCAGTCTGGAGGGGCATGGAGGAGGGGGGAGGGGATGCTCGCTGCTGGAGCAGAGACGCCCCCACCCTCAAGCCGAGGCAGAGACCTGGATTTCAGAATCATTGGTCCTGTGTGACCTCTGTGTTTACTTTGTGCATTTAACACAACACCCTGCACAAGGTTTCATAGCTTCACAGGCTGTTGGAGAGAGCTGGGGAGAGCACACTGGAGTGAGGCTAGGACTCCTGGTGGAGGGGAAGCGTGGGGAGGGGAAGAGCTGGTGCTGCCTGAGTGGGGCCTTGGGGGCAGCTCTGAGCACCCTGAGCAGCCAAACTGTGTCCTTCGCCAGGTCCGAGTCTTCCACACCCTTTCAGCGCAGCAGCCTTCTGGGGGCACCTGACACGGGGCTGTCTGCTCGGGACCCACGAGAGAGTGCAGAGCTGGGGAGAGCCCTGTCTGCCCCCTGGGGACTGGCTGACACAGACAGAGGGCGACTTCTGTGCAGAAGGCGGTGACGGGCGGGCGCTGTGATCCAGGTTCTGTGAAAGCTGGAATCTAGGAGTAAGAGGGGAGGAAGAACACAGCCCCGCCCGGGCCGGGACCATCGCGGGGAAGTGGGGACCGACCTTTGTCTGGGAGGCTAGGTCTGTTTCAAGGTATAAGGGAGGGACGTTTTATCGAGTTCAGGGTAAGAACTCGGGGCATGTATGCCTGCATCCGCGTGTGTGTTTGTGAGGGCACGCACGCACGTCCCTGCATGTGCACGCTTGCATGTATGGTCTCACTTGCACTCACCTACACGTGTGTCTGCCTGTGCACCTGTGTGTGTGTGCGTGTGTCCCATTCATAAGACAAAAGCAAAAAGCCAAGAGGAAAGAGCCAAGAGTGGAGCCAGCCCTTCAGGTTGGGGGCTCATGGGGCCTGGAATGAGGGGCCGGGGGAGGGGGAGGGATCTGAGTCACGTGCCCTCCCCTCACCCTGGAAGCGGCGTCGTGGCTGCCCATTAGTCACTTAGTGAACATCTGTTGAGCTCCTACTATGTACCCCGCACTGTGCTACGTGCGGGAGATATGGAACTTCTCTGTCGCCTCCTTGGCCCTCAGACCCCATCACAGCATCTGTTCAAAAATCTTTAAAAACAGAGCTTCCAAAGATACCCATGGGCACAGGCATGTGACGGCAGCACTAAACTGTGCGCCAGGCTCTGCAGGGTGGGGACCCAGCAGACATGCCCGGGACCAGGATGCTTTAAGGAGCGCGTTTCCAGATACTTTCCTATTCTCCCAGCTCCATTCCGTCCTTTCTCTCTGTTGAACCCCGCGGGCAGCTTCTCATCTCCCTGCAGTTTACAGAGTCTCAATCCGACCTAGAGAAGCAAGGACCACGCCCCCAAGGCCCACAGCTGTTCTGTCCAAAGGTGACAGGACCCGTGCGCACATGCACACACACGTGCGTGTCTGCTCCAGAAGCACTTGCAAGGTTTTGAATGAAAGCGTGAAGGATAAACATCTGTGTTCAGGATACGGAGGCTCTGACCAGGAGAAAGCGAAGAACCCCCCCACCTCCCGGAGGCAGTGGACCCTCCCCGGGGGGCAGCGGACCTCCAGAGAAGGTGCCTGTGTGTCTCCGTGGTTCAGTGGCCTGACGATCTCATGGGCTCCCTCTAGCTGGCATGTGCATCGCTGTTCTGTGATCCTGTGATAGTCACACCTGTTTGTTTGTAAATGTACCCACTGCAAGGTGACAGGTAGATGAAAGTACCTCTAGTTCTCAAAAATAGTTGGTGGAAGTTTACTTAATCAGCAAGTCAGCTATTTTTTTTTTTAGATTTGGGCTTTAAAAATATTTTACTGCGGTAAGAACACGTTACTTGAGATCTGCCCTTTTTTAAACTATTTTT